AAGGGGCGCGGGACAGCCCGCGCGCGCACACTCACCCGGACCCTGTGCTCCTTCCTAGCCTGGCAGTCCTCGAGGCACAGCCCAGCCTCTGCGGGGAACAATGACGCGATCCGTCAGGCCAGCCTCCCACCTCCCTGGCGGGCTGCCCACCCTCCCTCCGCGTCCCCGCGCGCTCACCGGGGATGGCGGGCAGGAGCTCCGGCGCAAGGGTCTCGGCGGCCTCCGACGGCGCTGGTACCTCCCGTGGGCGGAAGATCTTGCTGGTGCTCAGCCGGGGGAAGAGGACCCGTGTCCTGGTGGGGCGAGGGGGTCGTGAGATCCGGATCCCGCCCGCGGGAAGGGCAGTCCTGGAGAGGAAGGGGCCTGGGGAGGCAGGGGGCCTGGGGGTGGTCTTGAATTACTGCGGGGCGAGCCTGGAGAGGACGGGACCTGCGGAGGTGGGTGGTGACCCTGGTCAGGAACCAGCTTGGGGAGCGGCCCCAGAGGGGACTGGACCTGAGGTAGGGGAATGGTCCTTAGCAGGAAGTCTGGGGAGACGGTTTTTGCAAGGGTGGGGCCTGGGACCAAGGGACCCGCAGTGCCCACCCGGGCCTCCGACGTCTGGCCCGGGCTTCCCGCACCCTGCCCGCGTGGAAGTGTTGAGGCCCAGGCTTCTGCTCGCAGGTGTCAGCCCCATGCCCAGCCTCTGAGAGCAAGAAGCGGTCTATGGACAAATCGGTGTTGTCGGCGAAGATCCTCGAGGTGGGGGACACGCAGTGGGGGGCCTGATGCTTGCTCAGGACCTGCGGGGCCAGCCGGGAGGGGCACAGCGGTCACCCCCATCCCGTGGGGCTCAATCCCCACCCCACCTCCAGCTGGGAAACACACTGACCTCGCCCTTGGGGTTCAGGAGGAGAGTCACACATCCCCGGCTGGAGCAGAAGTGCACGGGCTCCTGGCCCAAGGAAGAGGGCAGCTGCTTCTTGGTGCTGCGGGGCCCCTCGCCCCAAACCTGGTGGACATCAATGGGGCAGTGGGTGAGGAGCGGTGGGGGCCTGAGCCAGGGCCACGGGGGCTGGCAGGGAGCGGGGCGCACCGTGACGTGGTGCCGCGGCGCCAGCAGCGTGCCCAGCGGGAAGCGATACATGCACACAGGGAAGTCGTGCAGGTGCTGCTGCAGCATCAGGCCACCCAGGTCCGCAGTCTCCTCCAGCGACTGGTTGAGGACGCGCACAAACCTCTCCCTGCCGTTAACAGCCACGATCTTCAGGCAGGAACCCGTTGGGCTGGGGTGAGGAGCAGGGAGAGTAGGGGCACTGTGCAGAGAGGCGTGGGCACCCCTCCGCTGTGCCCCAGTCAAGACCCACTCCTGCTGTGACCCTACCGGGTCACCCCCTCACCTCCAATGGCGCTCGGAATGTGGGTGCTCTGGATCTGCACAGGACTCCTTCATCAGGACAGTCTTGCCAGGCTGGTCCTGGTGGGCTTTCTGGAGATCCAGAGAAAGGAGACCTGTTGGAAGGGGTACTTCCATATGGAGCATCCACTGTGGACATCTCATGGGAGGCCCGACCGACCTGCAGCACCCTGAGGGTGCACTTGGGAGAGGAACAGCTCCCGGGGTCAGATCCAGAGCAGGAGGGCTGGACCCTGGAGGCTGAGGGAAGCAGAGGTGTAACTCCAAGTACGGGCCTGGGGGGGCAGGGGGGTACTGGAGCCAGAGTGCCAAGACAGCAGCACTTACCATCCAAGACCACCCTAACCCCTAGGGATGGGACTGGAGCGGCCTTGCTCTGGGCAGTTGTGAAGACCGAGCTGTTGGGGGACATGGTGTTTAGGGCTTTGGGCAGAGATCCCAGCCTTGCGGGGGGGGTAACTGGGGAGGCCCGCTCCACTCCACCTTCAGGCTGTGTCTGCGTTGCCCTGCTGAGGCTCCTCGAGCGTGCCTCTGTCAGCTCAGAAGAATTGTGGCCTGGCGTGCCGGGTGGGTGTCCTGTCACCTTCTGCATGCGGTAATGCTCAGCCAGCTGGCCACTGCTGGAGTCAGAGTCCGCGCCCCCCGAGCTGCTAGTGCCCACGAACGGCAGGGAACCCCACTCGACACTCTTGAGATGCTGTTCCATGTGCTGTCTGTGCAGCTCCGAGCCCCACTCGCCCAACAGTGGGGACTGTGGGGGTGGCAGGGGTCGCGGGTGCCTGTGGGCCACAGTCTACTGATCTGTTCGCTGCTGCCGGCTTTGGCTTCTAGACTCTAGCCTTGTGCCCATGTAGCCTCCCCAAGGTGGGTGGGGCACCCCGGGACCCAGCCTAGGGAAGAGGCTCCTGGAAGGACCATGGGGGCTCAGGAGCCCTTTCCCTTCACTGTGAACCTCGTCCTACAGATGGGAGAACTGACCTTCGAAGGTGTAAGTTACTTGTCCAGAGACATTAAAGGTAGAACTTGGACTCTGGCCCACATATGCCAAGGCACGCTCTCCCCCCTGCCCTGCACCCCTGGAGGATTGCCAGACCAGCAAAGTTACTTTTGGTCTGAGCTGGACTCGATGTTGATGAAGAGGTTGGGATACCGCTGGGCAATGCTGTTCCAGTCCACATCCTCCAGCCGGAAACCCTGGTCAGGAAGCAACAGGCATGTGGCCCTCCCCTCCCGCAGGGCTGCCAGCTGTGAAAGCACATGGGGGCCTTGCTTACCTCCCCAGTGGAGGGACCCTGTTCACTCTCAGAGAGGTCACTGAAGTCCATGAGGGTTTCTGCAGTTACCACCTGCACAGGGGGAGTGGAGGCCAGTGGGCAGGGGCTGGGGGATAGAGCCTCTCTCCTTTGACCTCACCAGCACCTGAGGCACACACTTGCTCTGCGTCCACTGGGCAGAACCAGAGGGTTCCTCCCTGCCCCGTGGCTTCCCAGGCAGGCCAGCCCCCCTCCCCCGAGCAAAAGCACCTGAAGGAGAGACACTGGCTACCCAGGGGATGTCCAAAGAGGGTTGGGGAGGGGAACACGGGAGGCAGGAAGGTGGGCCGAGGGGGGCTTACCTCCACACTGCCGGTGGAAGATCGTAATATGCGACCCACCCAGGAGGAGCGGGCCAGCTGCAGGAGGCAGGATTTCTGGAAGGCCTGCAGCTCAGCCTCCAGCTGCTGCGTTGTGGTCACGGTCTGCAGCAGACGTTCCTCCAGCTGGGACTTCTCCTGCTCCAGGAGGGTGCACAGGTGGGCAAGGTCTTCTCCAGGTGCCGACCCCCAAGGCCAACCCCTACCTGGCCCCTGATCCTCACCCCAGCCTGGGTCCCCTGCCCAACTCCTTGATCCCACCTGCCCCTCACCAGCTGGGCCTGTTCCTTCTGTTCTTTCAACTCCAGAGTCAGCTTTTGGACCTGGTTCTGCAGGAACTTTTCCCGATTGCGTGCGCTCCTGGGGGAAGGGGCAATCTCAGCAGCCCCTACCTCGAGGTCAGTAACCAAGGAAGGGAGAAGGAGGGGCCCCTCTTCACTGACATTGGGGGCCCAAGGGCACAGAGTTCCAGGGGCTAGGCCAGGTCTGGCTCTGAGAAGTCTGGGTTGTAGGTGGGGTCTAGGTTCAGTGACTAAAAATGTGTTCAGAGTTAGGATCTGGGTACGTTCACAATATATTCACTTTTTCAGGGTTAGGGTAGAGGGTCAGGGTCCAGGTAAGGCTTAGGGCTAGAGGCAAAGGTCAGAGTAAGAATCAAGTTGGAGTGTCAGTCAGGACCAGTGGTTGGGCATGGGGTCAGACAAAACCCAGGAGTTCTGGCCAGGACAGAGGCTGGGTTGAGCTGGGGGACTAGCGCTTGGCTGCTCACCTCTCGGGTGGAAGTCCAGCCACCTCGTGCAGGACGTGGCAATGCCGGGCATCCCGGTGGTTCTGGATGGCCCACCGCAGGGCCTGGATCTCTAGTCTCCGCTGACCCCACAGCAGCTGCAGGGTTCGAGGGTCCAGGGACTCAGGGGCCAACCTGCAATGCCAGCGATCAGGCCCTGCCCTCTGGCTGACCAGGCCCAAGTGGCTGACCACCCCTCCCTCCCTTCCTTACTGCAGGTTAACAGAGAAGACCACCCGTGGAGAGCTGGGCTTGGTGTCCTGTGGGCATGTGGGAGCCACTGGTTCTTGGGGTGTGCCAGCTGGAGGCTCCAGGTGGCCATTGACTGGCTCTTGGTCCACCAGGGATAAGGAAGCCTCTTTCTCGGCTCCTTCAGCCTCTTGGCAAGACTCAGGGACCATTCTCGATGTTCCTAGGGGAGCTGAAAGGGACAGTGTGGCTGTCATTCTTGTGTCCTATGTGTGGATGCCCCGGTGGGGCTCTCCTTACGTGGCCGAGCGTGTGCCTATGCCTGACAGCCCTAGACAGTACCACACCAAAGAGGTCTGTGTGTGTGTACACGCGTGTGTGTGCATGCACCCCACAGGACACTAGACTGCTGGTCACATGTGTGCCCACATCTGTGTGTTTCTGACCAGGACAAGGCAGCAGGTCACCCCCCACAAGCAACATGTCACCTGAGTGCGCATTTCCTGTTGTCATCCCCGTCACCCTTGCCTTCTAGGACCTGAGGTCCTGTCCCTCAACCTAAAGCAAGGGTCCACAGAGGGACTGGTCCTTTGCCTGTGACCCAGGCAAAGGCCCTGTGACCCAGACCCAGGGCCTTACCCCCAACACTCACCTGAGGCCTGAAATCCAAGCAGGCCTAGGGAAAGAAAGGCTCTAGAGTGTTGCCATGGATACCAGCACTCAGAAGGGGAGGGGCTGTTTGTTACCAGGAGCTTCCAGGGAAACCCCAGACCAGGGCCTGAGTGAGCCTTGGGCCCACCCCCTGACCCAGCCTGAAGGAGAAACTCTGAAAGGCTGGGTTGTTGACCAGCAGGCCTTAGCAGGCCCAGGGGACAACAGGGTGACCAGCAGGGCCTGCCATGGTCACACACTCAGTCTGCCGCCCCCAACCAACCTTGAGGAGGCTCCCACGGTCCCTCCCCAGCCTAACTGCGGCAGGTATTGGAGACTGCCCTGTGTATGGGGGCTTACTGGACTCTACCCAGCAGTGAGCCCCTTCTGAGTGCTTCCACAGCATCTTTGCACTCAGAGGCTGATGCCGGCCTACCTAACCCCGAGTCAGAAGCCTCTCTTTCTCCAGTTCATCTCCACCACCTTGGGGAGCCGTGGGGACACTCTCCTAACTATGACAACAGTTCCCTCTGCCCCAGAACAAAAATGAGGCACCAGACCTGACACACAGACCAATGCCCTCCAGCCTTCACCCACCCACCTCACTTTTTGTAGGACTTCCTGTGCCGGGGAGGATACAGGCAGGCAGCAGGACCCCCCATGGCTCATTGTGAGGAGGCAGAGCAGGCTCTGAAAGCCTGGTCCACAGACAGCACTGAGGCTCTGAGGGACCCTGGCTGCTGAGCTGGCTCGGGTTCTGCCAGGCACAGGGTGCCCGCGTGTGTCCACAACTCGAGGAGACCCTGGGCCCCACTGGGGGCAGGGAGGGGTGGGGGAAAAGAGCCCAGGGTCATTGTCTTGCTTTGTCCCCAGCAACCTCAGGGCAGCCTTCTCCCCCACCAGGACGGTCAGCCTGGCTGCAGCCAGAGAGCACGCCGCTCTCCCGCGGGGGGCTCCCAGCTCCCGACCCCTGTGCGTCCTGACGACGGGCCCTGAGAGAGCCGGGTCGGTGGGACCCTGGCCTTGGCGGGCCGCGTCTGCCCCTCTGGGTGCACAGGCTACGGGGTCCCAGGCCGGTGCCCCCACCCTAAGCACCGGCCTTATTGGACTGGGGGCGCTTCTGAGGAAGTCGGCCCGGGAGCGGAGCCAGACACCTGTCTCACGCGCTGCCAGCCGGCCGAGGACGCGCTTCCGCGTAGTTCGCGGTCTTCAGGCGTGCGTGGACGAGGCTCAGCCCGCCCCTCCGCGCCGCCGAGCTCCGCCCACACCTGGGCGCCGCCGGGGGCGGGGCGGGCGGGGAGCCAATGGGAAGGGCGGGGCACAGGAGGGACAGCCAATGGGCGTTGGCTCAGGGCGGGCGGGCGACCCTGGGAGCCAATAGGGAGGCGCGGGGCGGGGCGCTCGGGCTGCGGGCCAATGGAGTGGCGAGCCGGGGCTCGCCCGCTGCGCTGGAGGCGGCAGGTTGCGGCGGCACCCGGCGCCGGGAAGCAGCCGGTTCGAGTCTGCATCCCGGAGGCCAGCGAGCGCCCAGGTGAGCCGCGCAGGGCCCCAGGTCCTCCTGCGTGCGGGCCGCTGCCTCGGACGGAAGCTCCGATGGAGGGGCGCGGGCTGGGCCGTCGTGGGGGCCGCGCCGCACCTGCAGCGGCTCCGCAGCAGCGACGGCGGCCTGGGGGGCGAGCGCAGCGGCTGGCGGGAGAGAGAAGAGGGCTGCCCGCGCCGGCAAGGGCCGCCCGGGCGCGGTTCCGTGGCTCCGGAGGGCCGAGGTCTGAGTCGCGGGGGAGGGGGCGTTCCCATGGCAGCGGGAAGCAGTGTTTTCGTGAGGGCGCCCTTGGGCGCCTGAGGCCGGCGTCCCGTGGGAGGGGCAGTGCCTTTCGAGCCAGGTGACTGGGGAGGCAGGAAGTTCTGGGTCTGGTTAATGATTCGCCTTGCTCCGGGAGCGGGGCGGGGCAAGAGGAGGCTGGGAAGTCGGGGAGCTTCGAAGTGCTTCTGGAGGGCACAATGATTACCCATCGGGGGGCTGGTCTTGACTACCTTCACCCCAACAACGTATGGCCTACGTGTGGGGCTGAGCACAGGAGAGCAGGACTGGCTTGGGGAGGGGGCAGTAGCCCTGAACCACTTCTGGAGGTGAGGAGAGGAGGGGCCAGGCGGTGGTGGGGCCAGGCAGGGCCTGACCCTGTGGCCTTTGTCCTCCCTGCACGACAGGGATGCTCTCCGGGCTAGCAGCGATGGAGCTGAAGGTGTGGGTGGATGGCATACAGCGCGTGGTCTGTGGGGTCTCGGAGCAAACCACCTGTCAGGAAGTGGTCATAGCACTAGCCCAAGCAATAGGTGAGTCCTTTCAGGCACAGATGGCCCAACAGGTGCACCTGAGGTGGGGCCTGGCCCTCGGGCCCCTTCTCCCGTTGAGGGTGGGGCTGGCTGATGGTCCCTCTTGCCCTCCCCTAACTTCTCAAGCCAGGTGAATGGAGGCTGTTGGGGGGGGGCATAGGCTGACCTGTCTCCTCCTACCCCAGGCCAGACGGGCCGCTTTGTGCTCGTGCAGCGTCTCAGGGAAAAGGAACGGCAGCTGCTGCCCCAGGAGTGTCCAGTGGGTGCCCAGGCTACCTGTGGACAGTTTGCCAGTGATGTCCAGTTTGTCCTGAGGCGGACAGGGCCCAGCCTCGCTGGGAGGCCTTCCTCAGACAGCTGCCCACCTCCTGAGCGCTGCCCAGTCCGAGCCAGCGTCCCCCCAAAGCCACGGCCAGCCCTGGGCCACGAGCAGCGCCAAGCACTGACCTTCAACCTGGGGTGCCCTGGGCTGGTCACCAGCCCTGCGCTGCCTGAACCTGTGGCCCCTGTAGCACCAATCCCAGGCTCCTGTGCAGACCTGCAGGGCCTGGAGCGAAGAGTGCGGAGGAACGCAGTGGAGCTGGGTCAAGAGGCCTTCTGGGAGCAGGAGCTGCGGCGGGAGCAGGCACGGGAGCGTGAGGGGCAGGCGCGCCTGCAAGCCCTGAGCGCAGCCACTGCCGAGCATGCTGCCCGGCTGCAGGCCCTGGATGCCCAGGCCCGTGCCCTGGAGGCTGAACTACATCTGGCCTCTGAGGCCCCTGGGCCCCCCTCACCCACAGCATCTGCAACTGAACGCTTGCGCCAGGACCTGGCTGCCCAGGAACGGCAGAGCGCAGAGGTACAAGGCAGCCTGGCCCTGGTGAGCAGGGCCCTGGAGGCCGCCGAGCATGCCCTGCAGGTAAGCCCACAGGCCCCCGAGCCCCTGCTGATGTCCCCAGTGTGAGCAGATTTGGGGGTTGGTCTCAGGGTCAGACTAGGGAGAGCATGAGGCCATGGAGCCCTATGGCTGTGTCCCCTGAGGGCTCCCTGTGCCCCAGGCCCAAGCCCAGGAACTTGAGGAACTGAACCGGGAGCTCCGTCAGTGTAACCTGCAGCAGTTCATCCAGCAGACGGGGGCTGCACTGCCACCACCCCCGCCGCCAGACAGGGGCCCCCTCAGCACACAGGTCAGAGTGGTTCTGGAGGGAGGCCAGGTGGGTGGGAGGCCTGGCCCAGCTCCAAGCTGACCTACTCTCCCTATAGGATCTTCTGCCTCCAGCCGGAGAAGAGCCCCTCACAAGAACCCCTCAGAATTCTGCTCTAGTGTCTAGCCTGAGCCCAGAGAGTATGTCGTGTCTTCCCCACTTTGGGTGGGACAGGGTCTTCCTGGGGCCTCCGCAGGCCCCTCAGCCTGTGCCCTCCCCACAGTTGCCCCAATGAGGCAGAACTCCTGGAGGTAGCAGCTCTTGCCCCATAATGGACGTCCACTGCCAGCCCAGCCCTGGGCTCCAATGACACGAGCGAGGGCAGCCAAGGCCAGCCCGACCTGGACAACAGGAGATTGGTGGTCGCAGAGGATTCATTCCCCCATACAGTGGGAAGCCCTGGTGCCCTGGGCCTGAGACAGAACACCTCAGAGCCCTGGGGTTTCCGCTGTGGGGGGCAGGGGGAGGCTGAGGACACTTGCCCTAGCTCTTGCCAAGTCTGCCAACCCCCCTGGAGAAGCAGGGGGCGGGACCAGCTCAGAATTTGCTACGCCCAAAGGCCATGGCTCCTTATTGGGGTTGGGAGATGTGTGGACACTGCTCAGCCTGTGGGTGTGTGCTTGCATGTGGGAGATATCCTTCCTTGAGCCTGCATGCACACACAGGCATGCCGCCTCCCTTACCCCAACCCTAAAACCTCAATAAACTGCCCATAATGGCTTGAGTGTGTCCTGAGGCTGTACTGGACAGGGTCTGTGGGACCTAAAACTTGAGACCAGCCAGTGTCACTGGGGAGTACCCCAAGCTACCTGGGGCTGGCCACAACCAGGGCTCTTGAGAAGGGGGGGAGGGGTCTCCCGGGGACCAGTGGTCAGTTGGGCCCAAAGCTGGGGCTTGTAGGGCCTCACATTTCCAGCTGCTGCACCCAGGGGCTCTCCTTGGCAGCCTCAGCCTGGGTTGAGAGTTGGACAGTGTGGGGCCTTATCAGCCTCAGCCCTGGTCTGAGTGCCCTCCTCTGGCCTACTCCTCACCAGTAGCAGGAATTGCCACCCCATTGGGATGGCTCCTGGACATGCCATACCTGCCTATCAGGTTTACTGAGAGCTTGTGGGGGCAGGTCCCGACTCCTGGTCGGCCAGGACCAAGGAACTTCACCCAGAAGAGCTGTGTAGGCCCCATGAGGGTGTGCTGCCCAGCCTTCCAACAGGCCCCCTCTGCTTCCCAGGTGGGTTGTGAAGGTTCTGCTCTGTGCCTGCAGCCTCAAAATGAGGGCAGAGTGATGTCCAAATCACGGCCCTGGTCCTGATCAGGCTGCAGGTCCCACCTGTGAGCACTGTGGCTGCGATGGTCAGAACCCAGGGGCTCGGTGCAACCATGGATATTAGGGAACAGGAAATGGAGGCATCCTAGATGATAGGGGTCTTTGTGCTGAGTTTGGGGTCAGCAACTTTGGGATGGACTCCGCCTTCTGGAGTGGCCCCTGAGCTGGGCCTGGTGTTCTCCACTTCTTTTGGGGCCGACCATAGGGGACATGAAGTCCTGAGTACAAGGAGCAAGGAAGCCACCAAGAGGCAACACCATCAAGAGCAGCTTGTTGGGGGGGGGGGGGCAACCAGGATACTTCCTGCCCAAGATGGAACAGGACTGGGAGCGACGACTGGACAGGCCAGGCAGCAGCAGGGGACTTCTGACCCAGGCTCCTGACTCCAAAGCCCCCAGCTCTACCCAGCTCCTACCTACGCTCCCACCTGAGCCCACTGTCTACCTCACAGCAGCCCATTCCAGACACGGCCGAGTGCACAGTCACATGGGGTATAGCCTGGAATGCAAATACTGATCGTGTTGTGCCCTGGATGGGAGGGCTGGAGCTATAGGCAGTTACCACCAGGTCCAAGGGGCCTGCTCTCCCCACCCACAGCCCTCACCTGTGCTCAGGTGGGTTGGATGTACCTCTGGGCACCTGCCCCGAGCCCCAGCACAGGGTCATCTCCCAAGCTGAGCACACCGGCCAGCACAGGGCAAAGCCAGGTGCTAGCTGGGAACTAGCCCACACCCTCCCGGTGTCATGTGCTTTCCCACCCCCCAAAGGGAAGCAGTTCTGATGCTAGCGCAGCTCACACACCCCTGGTCTCCTTTTTGTTTTCAGGGAACACCAGTTCCTTCTGAGACCTCGCCAGGGGACCTGTCCCTGGTCTGCTACTGGCTGAGAAAGCTGATGACCCCTCTTTTCTACCTGGGAAGGGTCCTCAGGTAGCCGCTGTGCTCTAGGGTGGGGAAGGGGGCAGAACCTTCCTCCTCTGTGGCTGTTCCAGGTGGACAAAATCCCATATCCCCCAAAAGTGGCCACAAGTGCCTCAAATCAGTAAGGAAACGTTGGAGTTGCTGAAAAGTTTACTTTGGAGCTTTAAGCTGCACTTTGAAAACAATGATGTGAGCTATGCTGAGCTAAGGAGAGGCCCAGCTCCCCCCCCCAAAACACACACATCCACGCCATGGCAGGGCAGGACCAAGCCAGGTCAGGCCAGTTGCCCCGGCAGGGTGAGACAGGACCCTGCTTGATGTAACTGCAGAGGCAGCCTTCATCACTGTCTCTGTAGGGCCAGGCTGCATTGGGGGATGGCACTGGAGCTCCTCCTGACCTCCGAGTTCTGCTCACCCCCAGTGCAAAGGTACTCTTGTGGGTTGGCTGAGAACACTGGGGGTCACCCACAGCAAGTCATTGCCCTGTGGCAGCCAATCAGCTCCACTGGTTCTCAACCCTAAGGCCACCCACAACCTCGCTGTCTCCTGCAGAACCTGCCTGCCAAGCCTACTGGGTGTGACCCTCAGTACACCACAGTGACCTTTAGGACAGGCTTTCTCCAAACGGGAGTCCAAGTCCATGTAAGGCCACAGCTAAGGCTGCCTCTCCCTGACGCTGTGCTGACAACTGCAGACCCAGCTCCAGCCATCAACCCCCACTGTCTGGGAGAGGGCCTGTTGCAGACATCCTGGCCCCTGCATGCCTGGAGGCTGCTCCAGGCGTGCTCCCCGACCAGCAGATTTTCAGAGTGGATTGGAAACCCCCAGCAGAGAAGCAGGCCCTGCAGACAGGCTGGGGGCTCTACTAGGTGCCCCCACTTCTGGGAGGGCATGTCGCTGGGCACCACAAGTGGGTCCTTGGCATTGACTCCTTTAGTGGCCTTAGCTTAAGTGGCAGAAATGTACAGAAAAGCCAAATCCGTCACCATCTTCCTTAAGAAAGTTTCCAGAGGTGGTCCTTAAGAGACAGGTAGTAGGGGCTCCGATCCTGAGGGCCAAGGGTCTGACCACGACACCCGTGCCTGCCCAGGGCTGCCCTCGGCTTGGAAACGTTCAGAAGACCATCCCAGCAACTCTGCACATCCTGGCACCTGAGACACACAAGGAAAAGAAAAGTTCCCTCCAAGGGCGCATTTGGCCCAACCTGAGCCCCCTCTTGTGGAGGGCTGTGAAGCCCCACGATGTTTCCCCTTCCTCCCCACCGCCCCGGCTGAGCGCCGACAGGCAGACCCGGTCCACAGGGGCGCCCTCGCCTCTCCCCGCCTTGTTGCTCGCCCTCCCACCTGGTCTGGCTGTTCCCTGCCCGACACAGCAGGGTCACAGAGGGGCCGGGGCGGTCGCGCTGCCCAGGGACAGATCAGCCGCTGTCACACGCACAGTGGGTCCGGAGCAGCGCAGTGTGCGGTGGGCAGTGGCTGCCCTGCGCCTGGAGGCCACCGGGTGGACGGAGGGGCCGTCCCCCACCCCCGACCCCTCCTTCCCCTCCAACTTGTGCGTCCGAGCCCCACCGCACCAGCCCGGCCCGAGCCCCCGCCCGCCGGTCTGGGACCCCTCGCGCGTAACCTGCAGCCGCGACGCGGGGCCGTCGCCGGCTCTCAGCCCAAATTCGGCGGCGGCCGCTGGCCCCTGGCGCCCCCGACCGGCCCCCGACCGTCCCGCGCCCCACGCCCCGCGCCCGGCCCGTATGCAAATATGCGGGTCTCGTAGCCAATGGCCAGCTGGGCCGGGCCCGCCCTGCGGCGCCCCAGCCAGTGGGCGCGAGGTGGGAGCGGGTCGCCACGCCCACCGCCGCGCGGCCCCTCGCGGGCGCGGCAGGCGCGTTCCTTTCCGCACGTCGGCCTCGGGGCGGGGCCGCCACCTGCCGGGCGGGGCCTGCGGGCGCCGCGCTGGGCCGTGCGGGGCGTCTCCCCCGCCGGCCGGGGCGGGTGGTACGGCCCGAGGCGCTCCCCCGCCCTCGCGGCGGGTCGGCAGCTCCCGGGAACGCGCGGGGCTGGGGTGCACGTAGCCCTGCCGCACCCTCGGGACGCCCGTGGGGCCCGCGTTGCCCGCGGCCCCCGCGGAGCGCTGTGGCTGGCGGGCGGGGGATCCGCGGTGCCCCGGTGGGATCCGTCTCCTTGGAAGGCTCGGAGTCCGAGTCCGGAGGGGACACGGCGCGGGGCGCAGGGCCATCGGTGCTTTGCCCCATCCTGTCTGGGCTTTGAAAAAGTATAAAGCATGAGAACAGACTGTTTCGGACCTGGAGTTACCGACTCCTGGGTGGTGCCCCAAGGTGGCAGCCAAGGGAGATTTGGCCCTGGCCCCCTTCCCTTCACACTCCCCTCCCCGCCTCCATGGCCAAAGGGGACCCCTGAGGCAGAATCAGGGGACATGCGGACCCCTAATGAGGTAGAGAGATGCTTGCTCCCCTTTTGTTCCCGACACAGGAGTCCTCATAAGCCCTCTGTGCCCCTCCAAGTAAGCCAGAGCTCCCCGCTTTCCCTCACCTCACTCAGTCTCACGCAGCTGCCTCAGACCCTGGCCCTCCCTAGAGGACCCTACTCATCTGGTTCCAAGGAGCTTTGAAGGAGCCCTCCACTCTTCACTGCCCAGGGGCTGTAGCCCTCAGCCTCAGCCACCCTGGTCCCTGGTGGTTCTCCTGTGGCCCCCCTCCTGGCCTCTACACCACCTGTTCCTGGTTCTCCCTCCATTGACTTCCCTGCATCCCAAGTGTGCAGAGGCTGGAGCCCAGCAGGTGCCACAACCCCAGCACAGACCCTGCTGCACCCTTCCCATCAGCATGGTCACTTCATTTCTTCCTTCAAAACCATTGCCTAAGTGGCTAAGTGCTGAGACTCCAGGGAGGCCTGGGACATCAGGAGCCTGAATCCTGCAGATAGAAATTCAAGGCAGGATGTTGTGGGTGTGGCCACCCACGGGTGGGGAAAGAGCACAGAGCAGCAAGGAGCTGGCTCAGTTCTACTGGCAGTCAGAAGTGGAGGGGTCAGCAAAGCCTGGATAATGTGATGTGGAAGGAATCCCTAGGAATCCGCAGGATCCCTGAGGAGGCCCACACCTTCAGGACAGGATAGAGGTTTGGAGGAAAGAAGTCTGGGGTTTGGGGACATGGAGAAGCCAAGAGTCAGGGTGACTGAGTTCCTGCCTTGCCATGACTGGTATGCCTTCCAGCTGTCCCCCAGTCCTGCTGGTTCCAAATGCACCCCTTATCACCCTCTGTAGTGGGTTGAATAGTGTCCCCTCAAAAAGATGTCTGTATCCTAGCACCTAGACCCTGTGAATGTTACCTTACTTGGAAAAGGGGCCTTTGCAGCTATAATTAAGGGTCTTGAGATAAAATCATCCTGGTTTACCTGGGTGGGCCCTAAATTCAATAACAAATGTACTTATAAGAGACAGATGAGAGATACAGACACATGGGAAGGCCATGTAAAGACAGAGGCGAAGATTGGGGTGATGTGGCCACAAGCCAAGGAAGCCTGGAGCACCAGAAACCAGAAGAGGCAAGAAAGGATTTCCTACAGATTTCCCAGGGAGCACAGCTGCCTTGGATTTCAGCATTTATAATTTCTGGGACTGTGAGAGAATCATCTGTTGTTTTAAGCTACCCAGTCTGTGGTCATTGGTTAAGGCAAGCCCGGGTCACTAATAGGCCTGCATTCCTAAGTCAGGGAACACAGCTGTACCTGTCTCCTCCCCCTCCTCCCCCCCCCCCCCCCCCCGCTCCGGCCCTGTGTTTGTGTGCAGGCCTGACGGCAGGGGAAAGGGCTGGCCTGGGCTGGACAGAACCAAGGTAGCTCCCAGTCATGCTCCACCCTCCTGTACAGGAGAGAACAGTGCATTTCATGTATGTTCCTGCCTGTGCTCTGGGTGGGGGTGGAGCAGAACAGGGTGCAGGAGCACACACCCCAAACCCAGCAAGGGATACAGAGTGCAGGTCTATAAGGGGCATGAGGCAGGGTACACATGTTGTGTCCTTGCTTGGAACTAGCATGTGAGAGGTGGCAGGTGGGTGGCTAGTCAGTGTGCACTGGAGGTGACAGTACTGATGGGGGGTATATACAGAAGGTGACCACATGCATGTGGGAGGGCATCAATAGGTGAGAGGTTTGTTATGTGCCTGTGCTCTCGAGGTACCACCTATGTTCAATATGGGCCCAGACCAATGGCTCTGGGCAGTTCCTGGGAGCACAGCTCACATCTGAGCACAGGTTGAAATGGCTGGGTAGGTTGTGCACTGCCCAAGGATGCCTGCTGAGTAAGTATTTTTCTATAACTCATGTGGGTGCATGTGTTTATTATGACAATTTTCCAGGAGCCCCAGGAACAGCGGCAGATGAAGGTAGGAAGGGCTGCCCCCTCTCCAAGGGAACTCCAAGTTGGCTATAAGCTGGCTGTCCAACTCCTTCATAGCAGCATCAGCAGGGTACCCCTCTACCCCACGTGGGAACCTCTGCTGGGTAGTATCGTTCTATCCAATGGTCTTCAGCAGGTAGGCATGTGTGTCTAGAAGGGCCAGCACATGCCAAGCTCCACACTGAGAAGGAGAGGGAGGGGGAGGTGCTTGGTGCAGGGTAGTCACCATGCTGGACCCCACCCAAAGTGCTCTCCCAATACTCACCCATCCAGCCCTCAATCTCCGTTTTATGGGCAATGACACTGACACACACAGAGGTCAAGAAGCTGTCCCATGGTTACATGATTGATACACTGGGAGCCCAAGTGCCCAGGTTTAAGTACTTGGCCTGGAGGACACCCAAGAGGTACCGTGCTGCACCAGCCAACCCCCTCCAGACCCCACCCCTCTGGCCCATGGAGAGGAATTGCTCCAGAGTCTTCCATATCTCTGGTGCCATCCATTCTCCCTCTCTGCAAAGTCCTTTTCAGAGTGTGTAAACTAGCCATTATCTCTCTGGCAGTAAGCAGAAAAGACAACCCTCCCTCCGCTGGCTCCACTCTCCCTTCCTTTTGCAGCAGGGCCACTTGCAAGAGATGTTGGTGCGCTGGTTACTCTCCCACTCTCTTTAAACTCCCCGCGGCGCTCCCACCTCCAGCGCTGCTATTCTCAGGGTCACAGTGACCCCCACCTCACTCGACCCCGGGCCCTGCTTGATGGTCCTTCCTTCCCTGGCTTCCAGAAGCCCGTCTCCTGGTTCCCCTCCTGTTTACTTCACACATCCCTCAGCAAATCCCTTGTCTTCAGAATCTACCAGGAGTTTCTTGCTTTCCAAACCTGAGCTGCGCCCATCCGAGCCCAAGCCAGCCACGGTGGTTCCTGAACTGGGGATCCCCCTGTGTCTGCCCTCACTGCTCTAGTCTTTTCCCCACCTTGCCCCCCACCCCACCCCCCCTCGCGGAGCCTGCACGTGTCATCCTGCTCCAGATCCTCCCGTGCCCCTAGCGCCTCTGGCCACATCCCGCACTGGGCCCAGCCACCCCTGCTTGGCCTCCTTTCCGAGGTCCAGCGGCGGTTTCTCGGTGCTCTGCCCACGGCGGCCCCTCTGGCCCCCACCTCATTGCCAGGTCCATCCTCACCGCCTAACACTGGCCAGTCCTCCCAGGCTCCTGAGCCCCGGACCCTACCCTGCTTTATCTTTCATCATAGCGGGAGTCAGCTTTTCACACATCGCGCGGTGTGGTGGCCGACAGCGCTGGTGGTTTCCGGTGTCTGAACCATACGGGACGCGGGGCTAGGGTCTCCTCCCGCTGTGCCCAGCACCTGGAGGAGCGTGCCCACACAGGACTCCATCAGTGTTTGGTCCAGGAGCGACTGTAGGGCGCGAAGCTGCTCGTCCCCGGAGCGCCACGAGGCGAGCGACGAGCGCGCCGGGGGCTTGGGGCGTGCCCAACACCGGGGGGGGGGGGGGCCGGGCCACCGCGGGGGGGCGGGGCAGCAGGGTTGGGGCGTGCCCACGGCCAGGGGGCGGGGCCAGGCCTGAGGGCGGGGGCTCAGGTGTGCCGGACGGCCGCTTCCATTCGCCCTGGTCGGAGGGCCGGGGCTCGGACTGTACCAATTCCCGGCGGGGGAGGACTGACACGGAACGGCCCACTGGCGGGGGCCTAGACACCACAAGGTCTTCCAGACACTAGTATTCCTGGGCGGTGGGCCAGCATTAAGCAGTGTCTGCGAAGTCTCGAAGCCCCGGCCACGGCGAGCGGCGACTTCCGCCACTTCAGGCTCTTCTTCCCCACCCTGGTCCCAGTGGTTCCCGCCAACGGGCGGGGCGAGGCGGGAGGGCCCCGGAAGCCGGCTCCGTGCACTTCCGGGTCGGGGAGCGCGCGGCGGCGGCGGCGGCGGCGGCGGCGGCGGCGGCGGCAGCGGCGGCGGCGGCGGCGGCCTAGTTGAGGCTGGCGCTGGGGCGGCGCGGCGAGCGCCCGGGAGCGGCGGGAGGGACGCAAGGTTCTCGGGTACGTGCGGGGCCCGCGGCGGCCCCCGGGTCCCGACCGCGCCCCGGCGCGAGGGCCGTCCGCGAGCGCCGCGCGCTTTGTCTGCGGCCTGCCCCTCGGGGCGAGGCCTGCGTCGCGCTGGCCCCGGGCGGGCGGCGGGGAGCGCGGGCGGGCGGCGCGGAGGGCCCGCGCCCGGGCCGGGAGGCCCCTCGGGCCGCAGGCGGGCTTCTGCGGTGGCCGCCGCCTGTCCGCAGCCGCGGGGGGCCCACCCGCCTTGTCCCGTGGAATCGCCGCCCTCCGGCCCGCGCTGTTTCCCTCCCCGGCGCGAGCGAAGTCTGACCCTGTGCCGGCTCGTTTCCAGGGCCTGGTGGTCGCTGCAGCCAGCGGCTTCGTCCGCGCTGCGGCAGCCCGAGCGGTTCACGGGAGGCGCCCTGTTAGCTCACGTAGTCTTACAACAAGCCTCTGGAGTAGCTGCTGCCCTTCCTGCTCTGCGCGTGGACACACCGGGGGAGGGAGAGGCCGCGCGGCTCCCAGGGGCGCACGCTGCTGAGCGCAGGGCCTCCGGCTCTTGCCCCGCGTTCTTTCTGGCAGTGCTCGTGTTACACGTCGTGGGTTTAGGGGATTATGTACTGCTGTTGCCTCTACGGGAGCACGCGGTAATCTGCCAGGGAGCCTCATTCTGACCAGGGGTCTTGTGGTTAGGACCTGAGGCTAAGGTGAGGCCTCCCAGGACCGCGGGGAGGGTTTGTCTTCACAAGAATGTTGAGGCCGAACAACAGTGGCTGGCCCCTTCCGGTGTGTTCTGTGCCCCAGGCCAGCGGCAAGGCCCCCCCGGGGCGAGCCTGGCTTTGGGCCTCTCCGCAGCCCCCGGTATAGACTCTTGGTGTCCACGTCAGCCCTGCACAGACCTTATTGGGCCCACTTTTTCACTTCCATTGCAGTTTACAGTTTTCAGGTCTCCTTCATGGCAGACGTGGGGTAAAGAATGACAGTCCTGGCCGGGTATGGAATGCTGGACCTGGCATGCTTGCTCAGGGCCTGGCACAGGTGCCAGTTACCACCAGAAGTTCTTTGGCTTCCTTAGTAGCGGTTGGAACCATAGGTGCTTTGGGTCCTTGCATTTGAAGAAAGAGAAATTACTTCCTCTCAGCTCCCTAAATCTAGAGGTAGAGCAGGAGAGCCACAGAACACCACCACCGTTGCCTGTGGTCTGGAACATACCAGCAGAAGTAGGGATGGTGAGTGTGGCCAGGCATGTTGAGGGCTGCTGGCAGGGCCAGCAGAGTTAACACAGAGTTCTGACTGCAGTGTTGCTGACAGGGAAAGGGTTGCTAAGGGTCTCTAGTGGTGGCCTCGTCCTCAGTATTTGCACAGGTGTTTGCTCTGGAAAGTACTTTCAGAGGCTGTCTGGGTTCTTTGCCAGCAGTTAACTGTCGTGTGATGATGTCGGAACGGACGATGTTTAGCCTCATAGTTGACGCTCTCCTGCTGCCCTCACCAGCTGTGGTGGGACTTAACCCCACAGGCGCAGGGAGTTCAACGCCATTCCTGGCAAGCCCCTGTGTGCCAAACCCATTCATGGCCTTGTTGACCTCTTCCGACAGCCCTCGGAGATAGGCCCTGCCGGGTGGACCTGGGTCTTACTGCACCAGGGGCGAAGCCGGGGGCGGTTTGTTCTGACTTTTGACCTTGTGCTGTGTAACACATCATCAAGGTGAAAATTTGCACCTAGAAACTGCCCTCAGCTGTGCTCTGTCGTCTCTTGGGTGGCCTTGGGGTTACGTTTTCTCGTGTCTGAAGTGTTTCCTGGTAGGTTTATGAGTACAGTCGACCCTTGAACAACATGGGGATTAGAGGCGCTGACCCCTGTGCAGTGGATAGGATAATCCGTGTATAACTTTTGACTCCTCAAAGATTTTATTGCTGGGAGTGTACTGTTGAGTGGAAGCCTTACCGATAACATCAACAGTTGATGAACGCGTGCTTCTTCTAATAAAGTAAGCCAAAAGGAAAGATAAAATCATAAGGAAGGAAAACACATTTATAGTACTGTATTCAAAAAATTTGCACGTGCAAGTGGACCTGTGCAGTTCAAACCCATGTTTTTCAGGGGCCAACTTGAAAAAATTTATTTACCTTCCTATAGGGCAGGAAATGTGCTGCACTCTTTAGGGGCAGGGTAGGTAGGATGACTTTGTGAAGTCCAGTTGTGGGAACAGTGATGACAATGGCCAGAGAGTTCTAGGTCCTCTTCCCTGACCCCACAGGAGAGGTGTCATTCTCCTGGAAGGGCTGTGGCCCTGTCATGTCCTGGGGTCTGTATGCCTCCAGCAGGAGTCAGGCTAGGAATTGCAGGACACCTGGGTCCCTACTGTGTTGCTGAGTCACCAAGCAGTGAGGGTGCAGATCCTTAGTTGAGTGGGACCATGGCTCATTTTCTTAACCTTAGAACTCTAAATAGAAGAAAGGTGGTAGCTTTAGGAGGTGAATAATTCTACAAAACCTCCTCTTAGTATACTCTTTCCAGGTAGAAACAATATGAGGCAGTTGATAGTTTCATCAAATTCATATATCCTCACTATTTAGGAGACATCATCCTAGAATCTGGGGCTTTGTAAAGGAAGTTAGGCACTCCAAAATCTGAATCTGGCCTTAGCCCCACCAGGAGATTATTCTCTGGGAGCATCTGTACAAAGGTGGTGGTGGCCCCTCTGATTGCCATGTGAAGCTCTTGGTGGTGGCACACGGCCCATGGGGGAAGAAGCCTGCGTGTGGGATCCACGAAGAGAGCCTTACCGGGTCAAACCCTCCTTCCCCGGTTCTTGCTTTGCCCCTATGCCTTCTGGTCTTTTTTTTTTTTTAAGATTTTTATTTATTTATTTGACAGAGACAGACATAGCGAGAGCAGGAACACAAGCAGGGGGAGTGGGAGAGGGTTAGAAGCAGGCTTCCGGTAGAGCAGGGAGCCTGATGCAGGGCCCGATCCTAGGACCCTGGGATCATGACCTGAGCCGAAGGCAGATGCTCAGTAACTGAGCCACCCAGGCGCCCTGCCTTCTGGTCTTTGTGTGATGACCCCTTTCTTCTGACCTTGGAGAGTGGACTTGGCCCGAAGCACACTGTACCCCAGCGAGTGCGTTCTTTACTTACCCTGTCTTGGTGAGTTATGGAAGGACTGTCTGTGAGAAGTGTTTTCTCTGAGAGTCGCCTGGGAAATGAAGTGAGTAGCATTGTTGAGAAAGGAACCCTTATTTGGGGTCCAAAGTTGGAGGTCTGGCAAAGGAGGTAGATTGTGTTTTGCTCCATTTGTGAGGTCACCTGTCTAGGTCTGTGTTGTCCTCGCACAACAGAATAGGCAGGACGGGTGTCCCCACCTGGAAATCAGGAGCCCAAGAGCAGGTGGTGGTTGAGAGGTGAGCCCGACCTCTGCTTCCTGTGGGTGCATTTGGGGCGAGGGCAGGGCAGCCTCAGCTAACACGTGGCCTCCCAGTGGTGATCTGGTGGGTGGAGGGCAGGCTGGCCAACGTTGGCTGAGTGACATGGCAGGAGAGTGCAGGGAGAGGGTCCTGTTAGTCATCTAGGCTCCTCTGACACCTCCTGCCCCTCTACATTGAAATCCCCGCTTTGCCCCAGCTTGTGATAAGCCATTTCATTCGTGCTTAGTGTCAGGATTCCTCGGGAGTGTCAAGGTGTTGTAGGTGCCTGATTGAATGAAACGTCGCCAGAATGAAGCTAAATTAGGTTAATTATAAATTGAGATTTGACTTTGAATGTCGCTCTGTAGATGGGAATCAGTCTTTTCTCCTACGTATGCACAGCTTTGCGGTTCAAGTTGCTTTGTTTGTGTTCTGTCTTGTGGCTTGGCCTCCCTGTCCTGCGGATGGACACGTCACCAGGTCGTGCTGTGTGGAGAGTGACTCCTGCGCTTTCGGGAGGGGAGCATTGCATCCTGGGACAGTTGAGAACTTTTTGACTCTGGTTTATTTCAGGGCTGGTTACCAATGTCCAGTGATGGATGACGACAGCCTGGACGAGCTTGTGGACCGAAGCCCAGGGCCAGATGGACACCCACGACTCAGCCCGACAGCCCTGGCCAGCAGTGCTGGTGAGCCAGCCTCCTACCCCTTCCACCCAGAGGTGGGGGGGCAGGTGTTTGCGGCTTGCACCTCTCAGAGGCAGCAGGGCCACCTCATGTGCCGAGTCCCCTTTTGACAGTTTTCTGCGTGTGTCAATATTCAGCTTTTCATCTTTTTAAAAAAGTTATTCTTTGCTTTTAATTGTACAAGCAGTACGTGCGTTTATCTTACTGTTCAGCTGAGTAGTACAGGTGTACCTAGAGTGAAAGGACATGCTTTCCCTACTTCTGTTCCCCCCCGGCCCGACTTCTCTGTCCCCATCTGGGCAGCCGCTTATAGTCCCTTCGGCAGGTGCTTCTGA